AGTCCAGCTGTGGGTTACTGTGTATCAGTCCAGGAGTGGGTTACTGCGTATCAATCCAGCTGTGGGTTACTGTGTATCAGTCCAGCTGTGGGTTATTGCGTATCAGTCCAACTGTGGGTTACTGTGTATCAGTCCAACTGTGGGTTACTGTGTATCAGTCCAGCTGTGGGTTGCTGTGTATCAGTCCAGCTGTGGGTTGCTGTGTATCAGTCCAGCTGTGGGTTACTGTGTATCAGTCCAGCTGTGGGTTACTGTGTATCAGTCTAGCTGTGGGTTACTGTGTATCAGTCCAGCTGTGGGTTACTGCGTATCAGTCCAGCTGTGGGTTACTGTGTATCAGTCCAGATGTCCATGTATGTGTTAATATCAACACTGCCATTTTACTGACGCTTAGTCCCTGAATATATATAATGTTGATAGTAACAAATACACCCATTTGAAATTGAAAAGGAGCCCTAGTGAGATGGGAGATTCTGGGGAAATCTAGACTTGCTTCATTTAGAGTTTAAGCATTGCATTGTGGGCTGGGTGGAAGGGAAAATAATGTAGTTCAGGGACTGTGAAACAGACTACACGGCCATGTATATTGCGTGTATTGTCTGATCATACTATGAAAAGTTTTTCTTGATCCAACCAAAAAATTTAACAAATATGCAAACTATTTTATGATGGGTGGTACTCTCACCGCGTCTTTGCCATGACATACCACACTGTGCATGTACAGTCACCCATCTGCAGGACTCATGGCCCACGCACTGTTTCTGCATGTTTAGGAAACTGGCCGGTGTGAATCCCCCACTCCCAAGTTGGCCATGAATGGGTATAATTACATATAACAATAATGGTAAATGACATCTGAAATCTCTCAATGGACATTATCAGTCCGGCTCACATTCTGAACCACATTTTTCCTTTCACCAATCCCTTGTTACAATGCTAAATGAAGCATCTCCAGAAATTCCTCAGGTTCAGAATCTCTCATCTCATTGAGGCCTCTTTTCATTTTGAATAGTTTGTTATTTCATTCAAACTTATACATTTTCAGAGACTATGAATTTGTCTCTACTTTGCCCAGCCCTTGCAGTAAGGCTATAGCCCTAAATTAAGTCCCCAGAATTTGGAGTCTCCTCTCTCACCTGGGATCCTTTTCTGTTTAGATTCCATTGCTTGTTTCTAGCAAACCTATTTTCAGGGACTAAGTGTTACTCCAGGAAATCATGTAGTGAATCTTCTAGACTAACTCTTAGACCCTGAATATGTCTAATTTTGATGGTAACAAATAACCCCATTTAAATTGAAAAGGAGCCCCAGTGAGTTGGGAGATTCTAGACTTGCTTCATTTAGGGCTTTAGTATTGCAGGGAGGGCTAGGCAGTAGGGGAAATAATGTGGTTCAGGGACCGTGAGACAGATTATGAATCTTCTGGATATGACCTTAAGGGAATGCCTATATACCCAGCCTCATTGGTATTCATTACTGCATTAATTATCCAGAGAATGGTGAATCGCTTGTGGGAAGATGCCTCATTCCAAATTTATAATCTTCACTAGTTAATTTCCTTGACACAATGAGGTAAACCGTTGTTTTTGGTGAACACATTGGTAGTTCAGGCGTACAGAACCTGCGGCTGTTGCACACACAGTGAGCTTCTGTTTCAACCCACGTACAGACAATACATCCAAGTCATAAGTGTGTCGACCCGTCATCACAGAGGTCACATGACATTCAGATCTCACTCACCGTCACGCTACTGTGTGTGGGATCACCAGGGACACATGCAGAGTGTAGTATGATAAATCTCGTATACAGGATGTACGTCATGTCTCTGAATGTACAGTTTAATACTGCAGATGTCATGGCAGGGATTTTGTTGATTCACACTACCAACATTAGGGTTATTGTTAACACTGGCAAATTAAGGAAAAAGATGTCAAGAAAACAATACAAATTTCCTTAAATCTAAAACCTGGAGCACAACGAGAAACTGGAGGCCTGGGACATGGGGCTGTTTATTGGGGGGTTAGGGGCTAAGTGCCTGGGGGCTAGAGACTGCAGTCTTGGGGCTAGGTGCCTGGAGGTGAGGGACTGTGGTCTGGGGGCCAAGGGCTTGGATGAGACAGTCATTTTGTCATCTGAATGGATGAACCAAACAACTGTTTGCGACCACCACCATCTTTTTTTCAAGACACCCAGCATGACCAGTGAACAAATATTTTTGTGTAAAACCTGAGGCCAAATTATTTTCTTCCAATATTTTTCCAAGCAAAATATTTTCCCCCGAATCCCAGCTAAATGTTTGTCCGAAGCTGCTATCACAGTTTGGGTGCAAGATATTCTATCTTAACATATTTCAGGAAAAAGTGCACTGAGAGATTGAATGTATCAGCCATGACTCATTTAACAAGTGCTTGGTAATCTGCCCAAACTGAAACACTTAGTTGTACATTAAATACCCTTCAATACCCTATTGTCTCTGTGAATCTACCAGAAGATGGTTTCTGTTAAAAGTACTTGTTGCATATCGACACTACATGGGCCTGTATCCTCCTCCATCATATTGCTACCTGTCAGCGCTACTGGCTACACGGAGAAACATGATATGTGCAGCAAGGTTGTTGCACCCTGTGTGCAGGACAGTGTTCCTTGGCAGTGTGCATATTTTCAAGAGGGGGATTATTTGTTCCGTAGCAGGTGCTTGAGAGATGGAGATGAGAGTTTGATGGTTTTACCTCATAGCCAGGTAACGCAGGGAATGTAGATGACCTTTCTCCAACTCCATATTGGCACTTGTTGATTTTGGTGTAGAAGAACATGGTGAAGGTGAACTGGCCATGGAGACAGCTGTACAGGTGGGTAGAGGTGGAGAATTGTGGGTACAGGTGGACAGAGGTGGGTAGAAACAGGTGGACAGAGATAGAGACAGGTGAATAGAGGTGTAGAAGTGTGGGCAGAGGTAGAGACAGGTGGGTAGAGGTAGAGACAGGTGGGTAGAGGTGGAGACAGGTGGGTAGAGGTAGAGACAGGTGGGTAGAGGTAGAGACAGGTGGGTAGAGGTGGAGACAGGTGATAGGTAGAGACAGGTGGGTAGAGGTGGAGACAGGTGGATAGAGACAGGTGGGTAGATGTGGAGACAGGTGGGTAGAGGTAGAGACAGGTGGGTAGAGACAGGTGGGTAGATGTGGAGACAGGTGGGTAGAGGTAGAGACAGGTGGGTAGAGGTGGAGACAGGTGGGTAGAGGTAGAGATGGGTGGGTAGAGGTTGAGACAGGTGGGTAGAGGTAGAGACAGGTGGGTAGAGGTGGAGACAGGTGGATAGAGACAGGTGGGTAGAGGTGGAGACAGGTGGGTAGAGGTAGAGATGGGAGGCCGTATTTAAGATATTGTTTTATTTCAGACACAGTAATATATGTTTAAAGGTACCCTATGACACATATTGTTGTGTCTGGGAAAAGCAATAGTTGTCTGGAAAAATCATGGATTTTTTTTTTTTCACCAAAATGTGGGAACCTGTTCAGATGGCCACCATATATAGCTGGAATATTACTGAGTGCAGCGTTAAACAAGAAACCAACCAAATCTATCATGGATAGAATGTACAAATCCAGTGTGGGGAGTCATTCACCCCAAAGGTGCTTGAATAATGTTGAAAGTGGCAGAAAGCCATATACTTCCTCGCTCGTGCCTGTATTGATTGGTAACCTGTGCACTGCCTCGATCATGTGTGTTATAATGACAGCATTGACGTAGCAGAATATTTATTGATGATATCATACTGTCTAACAACCTGTATATTTTGATGATTCTGTAACAAACCAAACAAACAAACATGTTTTCTTGTGACAAAAAGGAAGAACTGTTGCTGCATGTCTTTCATAAATCCAATACTCAGCAGCCATATGTAAACAAACAGAAGACGCAAGGAGAAGCTTGTAGGCCATCAAGGTCTCAATGCTGACAGTTGTTTTCATGTGTGAAAAACAGAGAAAATCTTTGCTTAACCTCAAACATCTTCTCCCTTCCCGCATCAGGCTGACGAGATATATTCCACATGTTTTTACCATTCACACAATCTGTGTACTGCATCTGGGGGAAACATTGTCACAAGACAACATACATGAGCTTCAGACGTTTTAGTTTGGCCTGGAGGAGACTGAGCAAGACTGTTCTGTTTGATGGTGTTGACACTGCTGATGAAGAGAGTCCTAGTTTTATGAATGACATCCTATGATTTGTGAGTGACAGCTGGGAAGGATGAGGTGTTGCTGATATGTGGAGAAATATTTTCTGCACGATAATCTGTGACATTTGTAATGTCCCTTGCATGGACTAGATATCAGTTTAGGATTGTTTTCAATTCGTGCCATATGTCTTCTGTGCATATCTGTTGCTACTGATTTGATAATGATAAGACACACAGGCTTGTTGTAACCTACCCGGTAACTGAGAACAGACACAAGGAACTTACAGATGTACATTGTGTCCTGGCCGTGAGTAGCAGACAGCAGACAGTAGCAACAGTCCTGCTGTCATACATGTGGGCATATAGTGATATGACTTGGCATGATGTGGTGTTGCCCAGTGACAGAAATGAAAGTTGGACCTGAAAGAAAAGTAAAAGAACCACTCAATGGTGGCTGTAGGAGGCTGACCGGGGATGTGTCGGACTGATGGTGGGGATGAGATGTTGTTGTTATTATGCGGTGTGTCGATGGTTTTGATATTTGATATATTTGCTTGATTGAGGATCTCCACCTCTGATTTGCTTGATTGAGGATCTCCACCTCTGATTTGCTAGATTGAGGATCTCCATCTCTGATTTGCTAGATTGAGGATCTCCATCTCTGATTTGCTAGATTGAGGATCTCCACCTCTGATTTGCTAGATTGAGGATCTCCACCTCTGATTTGCTAGATTGAGGATGGTCCACCCCTTATTATATTGTTATGTTTGTTCATTGTGGTGTGTCGATGTGATGGTGACGGGTGTTTTGATATTTCCAGCTGGAGCAAACTGAGATTGAGGATGGTCCACCCCAAGACAAGCTGTACCGGATAGCGGACGAACTTCTCAAGACAGAGCGGGCGTATGTGGAGAGACTGAATCTACTGCATCAGGTATGTTTGCAACATCAGAGACTGTACGGTATTACGTTAACACTGTCCTGTAGATACGTATTGCATATCATCTAAATTCACTGATACATGGAGACAACTGTGACACAAGTGTATTTCTGTGGATCATCACATCACAATGAAAGAAGTCTTCACCAAAACCCAACCAAACATTTCTGAACATTATTAAAGATAGAGGAGAGAGGATTCATGCAAGGGCCATAGCTGCCACATGCGTGCCATTCCAGTAACCAGTATTTCTGTGGATGTTATGGATCGTGAAATTAAAATATCATTTCCTGGTACAGCTATTCTCAGATGAATATATACAACTAGCATATCTTGGACACACTGCTATTTGTCCCTTCCATGATTGCGTTACTATGGTTACAAATGTCGTCAAGCCTCGTAACTTCAAGATTATTCATAAAATAATGGGCCAAGGTGACTGACATACAGGACAGCTTGAAACTGAAAGCAAACATAGTGTCTTAATGGCAGTACACAGCAGAAAGTATACATTATACAGACCTGAGGAGAACAATCAATTGTACACTGGCAGCGTCATCTACTTCACACAACCTCTACATCAGCAACACTGTCGACTGCATGCATTGTATCCTACACATGTCAATTATGTGTGCAACCTATTCCTCTGAACTCTACCCATACAACATGATCTACTCCCCACAGCATCTGCTCCTTGTGCATCATCTACAGTCTGCAACATCTGAAACAGTATTCTGTGTAACATTTGCTATATTTGGGATTACATGTTCTCAGTAAAGTACAAATTTTGTTTTTTTTGTTTGGTTGAGCCAAAAGTACTAGAATCTGGACTTAACTGAGAAAATATAACAGAACATATGTTTCATCTGACCACTTTCTACATGGCATTGTGTGTTCACCGTATTCTGTGACCCGGAAGTGTGTGGTGGGTTGGGATGAAACAAGAGATGTGTGCCTGAATGATCCATCACCTATTAGTGTAGAGATGTAGAAGTGTGAAAATTAGTTCAGTTATTTATGGAAAGTGGGTGAACTTCTGAATGAAGGTGTTGTGAACATACTGTAGAAGAAATCTGACGTCACAACTTAACTTGGGGGAAATGGGGGCAGGCTTAGCTAGGTTGTTAATGGTGTCACCCTGAAGATGAGACACTCATACAAGTAGAATATACCTACAGCCAACAGGTTACATACCCCCACATGCTGTCAGAATTGCCTCTGCAGGGCTCAAATCACTCATTTTCTTGAATTATAATGCTTTCAAACTGTCAGTCAGACTCCCTGGTGTTTTGTTAGTCCTGGACTTATGAATCCACATGTACAACTTTTCTAAAATGTGGGATCTGCCCCTTCAACCCACAACCTCCACAAACACCTTCAACCCACAACCTCCACAAACACCTTCAACCCACAACCTCCACAAACACCTTCAACCCTCCACAAACACCTTCAACCCACAACCTCCACACAAACACTCTTTCTTTAACCCACAGCCTCCACAAACACCTTTCAACCCACAACTCTCCACAAACACCTTCAACCCACAACCTCCACAAACACTCTTCTTCAACCCACAACCTCCACAAACACCTTCAACAACCAACCTCCACAAACACCTTCAACAACCAACCTCCACAAACACCTTCAACCCACAACCTCCACAAACACCTTCAACCCACAACCTCCACAAACACCTTCAACCCACAACCTCCACAAACACCTTCAACCTACAACCTCCACAAACACCTTCAACCCACAACCTCCACAAACACATTCAACAACCAACCTCCACAGACACCTTCAACCCACAACCTCCACAGACACCTTCAACCCACAACCTCCACAAACACCTTCAACCCACAACCTCCACAAACACCTTAAACCCACAACCTCCACAAACACCTTCAACCCACAACCTCCACAAACCCTTCAACCCACAACCTCCACAAAACCCTCTTCAACCCACAACCTCCACACAAACACCTTCAGCCCACAACCTCCCACAAACACCTTCCACCCTTTCTTCCACAAACACTCTTCAACCCACAACCTCCACAAACACCTTCAACCCACAACCTCCACAAACACCTTCAACCCACAACCTCCACAAACACCTTCAACCCACAACCTCCACAAACACCTTCAACAACCAACCTCCACAAACACCTTCAACAACCAACCTCCACAAACACCTTCAACCCACAACCTCCACAAACACCTTCAACCCACAACCTCCACAAACACCTTCAACCCACAACCTCCACAAACACCTTCAACAACCAACCTCCACAAACACCTTCAACAACCAACCTCCACAAACACCTTCAACCCACAACCTCCACAAACACCTTCAACCCACAACCTCCACAAACACCTTCAACCCACAACCTCCACAAACACCTTCAACCCACAACCTCCACAAACCTCTTCAACCCACAACCTCCACAAACCCCTTAAACCCACAACTTCCACAAACACCTTCAACCCACAACCTCCACAAACACCTTCAACCCACAACCTCCACAAACCCCTTAAACCCACAACTTCCACAAACACCTTCAACCCACAACCTCCACAAACACCTTAAGCCCACAACTTCCACGAACACCTGAAACCCCACAACTTCCACAAACCCCTTAAACCCACAACTTCCACAAACACCTTAAACCCACAACTTCCACAAACACCTTAAACCCCACAACTTCCACAAACATGTTCAACCCACGATCTTCAACCCTCAACCTCCACATCAATCTTCAACCCCCAACCTCCACAAACCTCTTCAACAACCAACCTCCACAAACACCTTAAACCCACAACCTCCACAAACCTCTTCAACAACCAACCTCCACAAACACCTTAAGCCCACAACTTCCACAAACACCTGAAACCCCACAACTTCCACAAACCCCTTAAACCCACAACTTCCACAAACACCTTGTAAACCCACAACTTCCACAAACACCTTAAACCCCACAACTTCCCACAAACATGTTCAACCCCACGATCTTCAACCCTCAACCTCCACATCAATCTTCAACCCTCAACCTCCACAAACCTCTTCAACAACCAACCTCCACAAACTCCTTAAACCCACAACCTCCACAAACCTCTTCAACAACCAACCTCCACAAACACCTTAAGCCCACAACTTCCACAAACACCTGAAACCCCACAACTTCCACAAACCCCTTAAACCCACAACTTCCACAAACACCTTAAACCCACAACTTCCACAAACACCTTAAACCCACAACTTCCACAAACACCTTAAACCCCACAACTTCCACAAACATGTTCAACCCACGATCTTCAACCCTCAACCTCCACATCAATCTTCAACCCTCAACCTCCACAAACCTCTTCAACAACCAACCTCCACAAACACCTTAAACCCACAACCTCCACAAACCTCTTCAACAACCAACCTCCACAAACACCTTAAACCCACAACCTCCACAAACCTCTTCAACAACCAACCTCCACAAACACCTTAAGCCCACAACTTCCACAAACACCTGAAACCCCACAACTTCCACAAACACCTTCAACCCACAACTTCCACAAACACCTTAAACCCACACTTTCCACAAACACCTTAAACCCCACAACTTCCACAAACATGTTCAACCCACGATCTTCAACCCTCAACCTCCACATCAATCTTCAACCCTCAACCTCCACAAACCTCTTCAACCCAAAACCTCCACAAACACTTTCAACCCACAACTTTTACAAACACTTTGAACCCACAACTTCTACAAAGCTCTTCAACCCACAACCTCCAGGAACACCCTCCCCAAAACCTCCACAAACACTTTCAACCCACAACTTCAACCCACAAACCTCTTCAACCCACAACCTCCAGGAACACCCTCCCCCAAAGCCAGGGTGACACCACTAATCAGTGGAGCTTCATCAGCCTCCATTCCAGGAGGTGTAAAGTATGACTGCCGACAGCAGGTCAGATGGAATCTAGATTGCCTCCTCTCCTCACCCCAGAGTCCAGGCCACCTACTTAGACAGATTAACCTCACTCTCAGGTGGATGCTCAACTACTTTCCTAATGATAGAGAACAGTACAAGGGAATGCTCAGATTGTGTCGGGAACTTATGTATGTTTACATTTTGAGAATTGTTTTTACAGAGAAGTGCTCTTGCACAGTTGTTTGAAGTAATCATCGGTCAGCTTATAGAAAAAACAAAAGTTGACCATGGGGATTCCTTCAGTATTGTGTTAGCTGTACACAGCATAAGCTACCAGTCTATATACATGATATACAGTGTCTCTTTTATGTTCTCAGTTATCTCAACAAGTTTCCTAGTTCAGAAAAAAAAAAATTAAGAAAATTAAAAGTTTTGAATGTTTAGGCCAGACGAATTTTATTTCTTGTTTTATGGAATTTTGTCCTCAGAAAACCTAAAGGCAGGAGGGAACATTTTTAAAAACAAATCACCAGTCAAAGCAAAAATCCACATGAGTTTCCATGTTAAGTCTTATGGTTTGTTTATATCAACTAAAAATAAGTTGAGTGAGTTTAGGTTTCACACTGATTTCAACAGTGTTTCATGTATATCACATTAACATGAGGAATTATGTTTTTTGAGGGGGGGGAATTATTATTAATTTTTTTTCTTATTCTTGAAAAATACGACTGGTGGATCCATAAAACAAGAAATAAAATCAGTTTGGCCTTATTGAAAAAAATAGCACGTTATGAATGGCAAAAACATTTTTAATCTGCAAATCATGAACCTGAAATAGAGTTTGTTATTGTCATACAGCATAAACAGATCGACATAGAAACCAAACACACTGTGGAAACCACTGTAGCTGGGATATTGCGGAGTGCGGCGTAGAACTAAACTCACTCACTCACTCACTGTATTATGCATATTCTTGTTAACAATATCTTTGGATGTTGAATGTTTTGTGGTAGGTTCACATATTAGGCGGCCACATATTTAGCACATGAGTCAAACTTTTCACTGAGATGTTATAGGTGTGTGTAGTTATTGAGCAGCCTGTTAGTCCTTCAGATATACTGGTATGTTGAAGATTTATGTGCACTTTTAATAGGGTTTTATTAGTTTCATTTCATCCCAGCCAGTCCTCGACATCTCCATTCCAGTTAAGATACCAGCATAATCTTTACTGCTCTCTTAATAGCCGTGAATGTCGGCAAGTTTATATGTAACCACCTGACAAGGTGCAAGGGAAGGTCGCAGACATAATGAAAATAATGGTGAAAATATTCCACGCTGTTGCTCAGGTTAAGCAATCTTATCAGACTGGTGGCTGAAACATTGTACATATCTGCCTATCAGTGTTAGATGTTGTAGCAGAGCATGTTGAAGATCTGACACATTCACACTGACATCACAGGTGGGAACGAGGAGATGGAGCAGATATTTCACGTATCCTCCACAAGGGCAGGAATACCAGTGCCCTTCTTGGGTAACAAAGCATGCTTAATCAAGTTGGTGCTGCTTCCTACTGTCTCGTGTTGCTGAAACCGGGAACATAGCTTGTGGAAAACACTTTCGCAGGGTTGTCGCTCTCCCTTGCTTGAAATAATGGACCTTATTTGGTTCATTCAACAAACAAAATGTGGTCTTATACTGCATCATTCAACAAACAAAATGTGACCTTTTATTGTAGCATTCAAAGAACAAAATGTGGCCTTTTATTGCATCATTCAACAAACAAAATGTGGCCTTTTATTGCATAATTCAACAAACAAAATGTGGCCTTTTATTGTATCATTCAACAAACAAAATGTGGTCTTATATTCCATCATTCAACAAACAAAATGTGGTCTTATATTGCATCATTCAAAAAACAAAAAATGAAATTATATTGCATCATTCAACAAACAGAACATGGAATTATATTGCATCATTCAACAAACAAAATGTGGTCTTATATTACATCATTCAACAAACAAAATGTCGTCTTTTATTGCACCATTCAACAAAGAAAATGTGGCCTTTTATTGTATTATTTAACGAGCAAAACATGGAATTATATTGCATCATTCAACAAAGAAAAGCATGGAATTATATTACATCATTCAATAAACAAAACATGGAATTATATTGCACCATTCAACAAACAAAATGTGGTCTTATATTCCATCATTCAACAAACAAAATGTGGTCTTATATTGTATCATTCAACAAACAAAATGTGGTCTTATATTGTATCATTCAACAAACAGAACATGGAATTATATGGCATCATTCAACAAACAAAATGTGGTCTTGTATTCCATCATTCAACAAACAAAATGTGGTCTTATATTGCATCATTCAAAAAACCAAAAATGAAATTATATTGCATCATTCAACAAACAAAACATGGAATTATATTGTATCATTCAACAAACAGAACATGGAATTATATTGCATCATTCAACAAACAAAATGTGGTCTTATATTCCATCATTCCACAAACAAAATGTGGTCTTATATTGCATCATTCAAAAAACAATAAATGAAATTATATTGCATCATTCAACAAACAGAACATGGAATTATATTGCATCATTCAACAAACAAAATGTGGTCTTATATTGTATCATTCAACAACCAGAACATGGAATTATATTGCATCATTCAACAAACAAAATGTCGCCTTTTATTGTATCATTCAAGACATGAAATGGGCCTTATATGGTATCACAAAATTAAGTGTATTCATGTTTTGCATCATTTCATATAATTTGAGAAACATGTTTATAATCATTTCATGGGATAGTTAGTATGTTAGGATCTTGCAGTGATTGGTATAAGCTTGTTTTAATTTGTAAATTAATTGGCTAATATATTGTGCATCACATTTGCTATTCCATAACTTCCTTCATAAATGTTTTTCAGTTCAAAACATTATTCATCAATATCCTGGTTTTGTGAAAGAAGGATTTCAAGAACAAATTCTAATGAATATGTCTTCAGGATATTGAAACACAATTTTATTGTTGTACATATGTTTTTAAATAACTTTATTTCTGGGGCTAAATGTTAGTCTATTTTCTACATAAAGTGTAGGAGTTTGAAGTGTGCCAGCATGAAGGCTATTTATGGACAGACTGTTTAAACTGAGAGTGGGATTGTGTGGTGAAGGAAGAGATTAGCTTCTGGCACGACCACAGGAAGCTGTCTCCACCAGGCAGTAACTGTAGGTAGTTGTAGGGAACTATTACACACCACCCTGGGGGCTCCACTTGGTGTTTATCAATGGTAGTGTTTGGGAAAACATAATTTAACACACAGTAGGAGATATGTCTGCCATTCCAACACTTCCCTGTAAAGTTGAGTGGTACTTCAGGACTGATCAGATCACAAACAACAGTGACAGTTTCTATATTCAAGAAATATTGAAACAGTCATGTCATATGTTTGTCAAATAAATTACATACTTTCGAAAGGTTATTTGGAAAATACATTTTGGTGATTGAAACTTGTCTTGCCTGTGGCTAGACTAATCTTATTTTATATTTCCAGAACTTTACTTATTTCATATTTCCCAATTTCCATTTCCTATCAGCTCAGATTCTTGAGATGTGTATTTTACTCCAAGCATTTGTATGTTAATATAGCTATTATTTTTTATACAGAACGTTATCTGATAAAGGCTGCTTTTGAGTGATGTTGAACGTTTCTCATACAACAGTAGACTACACGGCTGCAAATGTGATCAGTACAGTTACATCTAACAACATCTCCCGGTCATATTGTGTCTACCCATCTTGCCCATCTCTGCAGCGATATCCAGTGATGTCATCATCTTATCACTGTGTGTCAGTGGTCTTCTCTGTATTACCATCTGTGACATGTTCTAACTTCCCAAATATTACCCCCTCTCTCATCTTCCACAGGTGTTCTTCTTTCGCATCACGATGCAGAACCGGACACAGAACATGCTTCCGCCAGAGGCCATCACACAGATGTTCTCCAACATCAAAAGCATCTTCCAGTTCCACCATGACTTCCTCCTACCCCAACTGGAGGACCGCATGAGCAAGTGGTAGGTGCAGCTCCCAGATTTCGCATCTCAAACACATCTCACGTGCATATCATACACATGCATACCAGACACATGTATACCAGACATGTGCTTACCAGACTTGTGCACACCAAACACGTGCATACCAGACACATGCATACCAGACACGTGTATACCAGACACGTGCATACCAGACACATGCATACCAGACACATGCATAGCATAAACATGCATACCAGACACGTGCACACCAGACACATGCATACCAGACACATGTATACCACGTGCATACCAGACACATGCACACCAGACACATGTATACCAGACACATGTATACACATGCATACCAGACACATGCACACCAGACACGTGCATATCAGACACATGTATACCAGACACACGCACACCATACACATGTATACCAGACACATGCATACCAGACACATGCACACCAGACACATGCACACCAGACACATGTATACCAGACACATGTATACCAGACACGTGCATACCAGACACGTGCATACCACACACGTGCATACCAGACACATGCACACCAGACACATGTATACCAGACACATGCACACCAGACACATGTATACCAGACACATGCACACCAGACACATGCACACCAGACACATGTATACCAGACACATGTATACCAGACACATGCATACCAGACACGTGCATACCACACACGTGCATACCACACACGTGCATACCACACACGTGCATACCACACAGTGCGTCACTCAAGCACATGTACAAGACTACTGGTAGTCCCATCAAGGGATTTTATTTCTTGTTATAATTACATGGTTTTGCTGTGCCACAGTAGCCTCCATGTGACAAAGGTCCAGGCTCAATTATTTACAGACCGCTGCCATATAGCTGGAATATTGCTGAGTGTGGCATAAAACTATACTAAACTCACTGAACTTCTGAAAACACATCTTGCAATAGTAAGACAGAAAACCATTGTAGATACACAAAAGGATGATGATGATGATGATGATGATGATGATGATGATGATGATGATGATGATGATGATGATGATGATGATGATGATGATGATGATGATGATGATTCCCTTTGTTGGTCAGAGGCCAGCTGTTACCCAACATACAGCCCCATCTTCGGTTACAGCCTTGACCCACACAAAGCCTGGCTCTTTGGTGTAGCATTCATTTACAGAATACAAACATTCACTTTTCAAATATTAATGCAACTAAGCCAATATTGATATTTATAGATGACCAGTGCCAGAATGATATGAAATTTGTGTGTGTTTCCCAGACAAATGCAAGATTTGCTGTTCCACTAGCACCAGTAATTTGGATAAACAGACTCATAATGAGGGCTGGATATTACATATTTCCACGCTGTGATGGAATTCTATCTTCAATTTCCTTATTTCACAACAGCAAATATCTGGTACAGTTTAATGATCATTCAAACTTTGAAACGTAACAATTTTTTTGTATCATACAAATAGTTGCCACTTGAAACCTTATATTTAGTGATGGCTTGATGAACACCTCTGAAACACTGGTTTTAAGATTTAAACATTTAAATTGACAAAAACTAAAAAATAAGGGCATGTGCTTGTATTTGTGCAGATCATCAGCTCCATAATCTTATTGTCATTATGTAATCCCACACATGGCTGCAACATTTTTCATACATACATCAGAAATTTCCCCCATTTTCTAACTTTTGAATTGATAGAAATGAAACTTGACCAGCTGTGACTTAAGGCAAGATAGTAATGTGCAAGTACATGGCTTTTTCCTCCCTTTTATCTTCATTAAATGTTTCACGCCATTGAAGATGTTTACAGTAGTACAGTGTCATTGTGTGTGAGACTTCATTGACAAATACAGACTGTTGAGATGTATGTCACAAGAGCGTTTATCCCACGGTGTGGCTGTCTTAACACAGTCTAGCAATCTGTTAGAGCACTTTTGATTGTGGAGATGGTTGGGTGCTGACATAGGGAGGGCTGGTAAGGAGACCCGTAAGGGGAGGGTCAAGGGGCACACTGACTGCCAGATTAATGTCTATCAGAAGCTGAAGGTGATAGAGTAACTATTTGGGATAATTTTTTTTCCCTTTTTTATCTTGTCCAGTGCAGTGATATTGTTTCATACTGGGTGGCCATGTATTTCAGGTTTAATTGTTAATGCTGTCCTGGACATGGATGCAAATAATTCTGTTTGAAGATGTATATCATGTTTCACAATCACATAGTCCTTATACAGTCTGGCTGTTGTGTGTTCTGCTGTCTGTACAACTGTCTATACAGCTGTCCTACAGAGGTGGATGAGCAGTAAGGATTAACCACTGACTAAAGTCAAATCTACGTTGCTATCTTCCAGGGACCAGAATCCGAAGATTGGGGACCTGATGAAGAAGAATGCGCCATTCCTGAAGCTGTACACAGACTACGTGAAGAACTTCGACAACGCCATGAATCTTATCAACACTTGGCAGGAGAAATCAGTCAAGTTTGCCAACCTCATTCAGGAAATACAGGTAGAGATAGACGTGTTTGTACAGCTGGTTCAGTGATGGTCAGGCTGGCTACAGAACTCAGATGAACTTCATTTAACTACTCAACTATCCATTCTCAGGTCCTCTTATTTCCTGAAGTAAATATGTGTGTGGGTGTTATGGGTTCAGTTGATCAGTGTCTTGCTCCATATTGGTGCAATGTAGGGAGCTTTTTCTGGTGTATCCTGTCATGATATTTCTGGGTAGCTAGTGTTCCCACCAGGATTCCGAAAGTAAGGATAGATTCATAGAAAAGGGCAATATATATATATGAAATGAAACACAGTATTACTTACTCATGTATTACTGTACTCTCATTTCAATTCAAGATTATAATTTGAGAAAGTTCTTCTTTGTCATCTGCAACATGCTCATGAGCGGTGAGCATCTGTGCATGGCATACATCAGCTCAGGCTCCTCTGTCATCAATGCTGTTGTTTACCTTCCTTTGACTGAAATATTTATGAAAGTAGTATTTAAGTTAGTCTGTCTCACAGTCCCTGAACCACACTATTTTCCTTAATGCCTAGCCCTCCCTGAAATGCTAAAGCCCTAAATGAAGCAAGTCTAGATTTCCCCAGGTTCAGGAATCTCCCAACTCACTGGGGCCCCTTTTCAATTTAAATGGGTTTATTTGTTACTATCAAAATTATATATATTCAAGGACTAAGCGTTAGTCTACATTTAAGTCTATATCCCTTTCCTGCAGGATGTGACGTTAAATAATAACTCACTCACTCACTTTCCACACACATGTGTGTCATAGATGCATTGTTCCAGCATAGCAGTGTCCTATACCATACAGAGTTATTCCCCCTGACCCTGACAACACAGGTCATAGTAACAGTGTTGTTGATGTTATAGTGTGTGATGCTGATTTCAGCGGATGCCAGAGTGTGGGTCGCTGTCCTTACAACACCACATGCTGGAGCCTATACAGCGGGTTCCGCGCTACGAGATGCTGCTCAAGGGTAGGTGCAGATTCAGGAAAGCTGTATCAGTACACATTTCAATAAATGAAATTAACATACACGTTACATACTGACTGCTTTCAGTTGTTACAATTTTACATAAAAATTACTTGTCAGTAAATTCAGTTCAGTGATGCAGAAACTTTATTAACCTATGACAATGTTCTGCCATGCACTCTTGACGTGAACCACTATGTTTACAGACTACATCAAGAAGTTGCCATCGGAATCCTCCGACCATCATGATGCTCAAGGTGAGATGTAGTGATGATGTCTTGGTGTACAGTGTTTTGTATTAATGAAATTAACATTGGAGATGAAAAAACTAATCATAATAGATACAAGATCCTAGTGCATTTGTGGGGTTATGACTGTTGGCGCCTGACAGTACTGATGACTATAGCTGTTTCAGGGTTGTGACTGTTGGGGCCTGACAGTACTGATGACTATAGCTGTTTCAGGGCTGTGACTGTTGGGGCCTGACAGTACTGATGACTATAGCTGTTTCAGGGTTGTGACTGTTGGGGCCTGACAGTACTGATGACTATAGCTGTTTCAGGGCTGTGACTGTTGGCGCCTGACAGTACTGATGACTATAGCTGTTTCAGGGCTGTGACTGTTGGCGCCTGACAGTACTGATGACTATAGCTGTTTTGGGGCTGTGACTGTTGGCGCCTGACAGTACTGATGACTATAGCTGTTTCAGGGTTGTGACTGTTGGGCCCTGACAGTACTGATGACTATAGCTGTTTCAGGGTTGTGACTGTTGGGCCCTGACAGTACTGATGACTATAGCTGTTTCAGGGTTGTGACTGTTGGGGCCTGACAGTACTGATGACTATAGCTGTTTCAGGGTTGTGACTGTTGGGGCCTGACAGTACTGATGACTATAGCTGTTTCAGGGTTGTGACTGTTGGGGCCTGACAGTACTGATGACTATAGCTGTTTCAGGGTTGTGACTGTTGGGGCCTGACAGTACTGATGACTATAGCTGTTTCAGGGCTGTGACTGTTGGGGCCTGACAGTACTGATGACTATAGCTGTTTCAGGGCTGTGACTGTTAGCGCCTGACAGTACTGATGACTATAGCTGTTTCAGGGTTGTGACTGTTGGGGCCTGACAGTACTGATGACTATAGCCGTTTCAGGGCTGTGACTGTTGGTGCCTGACAGTACTGATGACTATAGCTGTTTCAGGGCTGTGACTGTTGGCGCCTGACAGTACTGATGACTATAGCTGTTTCAGGGCTGTGACTGTTGGCGCCTGACAGTACTGATGACTATAGCTGTTTCAGATAAGGACAAGCTTTATGGATAAACAACTTCTTTATTCAGGTGGTGCGACGTTTTGATACAGATTATTGTATCATTGTCAAGCAGGTATTCGATACAAGAATCTGTGTCGAAATGTCTCGCCACCTGGATAAAGAAGTTGTTCATCCATTAAGTTTGTCCTCATCTGACTCTACAACTTCTAAAAATTCCACTCAAAGAAGTAAATCTGTGTGTTATTCCATTCCCCAGCTGCCCTCAATCTTGTCACTACTGCTGCCAAACATTCCAATGAAGCCATGAAGAAAATCGTAAGTTGATGGTGTCGTTAATGCTTTAATTACCAAAGTAAGTCATTTTTTTCTGCCTCACATCATGTATTTTCAGAAAACTGTAACCATTGAAGTCTCTTGTTACAGACAGTGCTATATTTGGTCACAGATTTTAGTCCCCCCAACATGGTATCAATCTTGTTCCAGGAGAAGTTCCGGAAGTTGCTGGAGATCCATCAGTCACTTCGTGGAATCAACGTGGACTTCATAAGTCCGACTCGCGAGTTGATCAGGGAGGGATCTGTCACCAAGATCTCGGCTCGGAGTGGAGAGAAACAATTAAGATATATATTTTTGGTAAGTTACACTTTTTTATGAATCATTGTGAATAATATGTTACCCAAATGTCAGAATAAATTAATGATGAGATCTTCATTCCTGCAACTAAACTCCAAATAGTTATTTGTTTTAGCCATATATGGAACTATTATTAAAGTTATTATTTCAGTTTATTGAAAAGGTTTCTTGTTTCTCACAATCAAGAAGAAATTTAACTTCTAAGACTAAGTTTTGGGATGAGAGTATTGTGTTCCTGTCATGTGACCCTCTGTTTCAGTTCAATGACATGATGTTGATATGTAGCGAGCCTCTACTTGGTACATTCCGTGTCCGTGCACAACTTGATGTGGACGGGATGCAGGTCAGTTACAGACAGACAGTCAGTTTAACATGCATGGGAAGGCAGAATTCTTAAATCATCAAATCTGTTCATTTAAACTATCTATGTTTTGTACTCAAAAAAGTTTATTTATGTCAGTGTCTTCATGATTATAGTCCGTTTGGCTCAAAAGCGGACCGATGAATTGCAATCTAACTCGAAAACTAAAAAAAATATACTTAATGAAACGCTGATCATAATCAAAACATCAGACCAACTCTGTGAGATTTTTGCAGACTTTATGTCCTGATAATAAAGAAGTTGTTTAACAAACTATCATTAAAATTTTGACACAGTTCACTATTTGTTACGAGGGAGAAGTGCAAAGAGAGTAACAGCCAGGTGTACGAGAAGCACCAGCACAAGTGCCGACAAAGTGATTGAGTCATTTACCTGTGCTGTGCTGTCTCCATCCTTTCTCGCACACCTGGCTGTTCATCTCCTTGCACTCCTCCCTCGTAACAAATAGTGAGTGAGTGAGTTTGGTTTTACGCCGCTTTTAGCAATATTCCAGCAATATCACGGAAGGGAACAACAGAAATGGGCTTAACACATTGTACCCATGTGGGGAATCGAACTCAGGTCTTCGGCGTGACTAGCGAACGCTTTAACCACTGGGCTACCCCACCGCCCCTAACAAATAGTGAACTGTGTAAATATTTTAATAATAGTTTGTTTAACAACTTTTATTATTAGGACATAACTTCTGGAAAAAACTCACGGAGTTGGTCTGATGTTTTGATTATGATCAGCGTTTCATTAAGTATTATATTTTTATTAGTTTTCGAGTTAGATTGCAATTCATTGGTCCGCTTTTGAGCCAAACAGACTATAGTTCTTTTGACACAATTATAGCTAAGGTCCAAATGATGATTCTCCATGTTTTGCCAATATGTGGTATGAACTTAATCCCGTCTCATGTATGTGAATTGAACAATAACATTTTCTAAGGTAATCGTCTTGTTAGAAACTACATGTGGGGCACATGTTTTGTCTACAGGCCTCGCAGCAATAATGTGATGAACCTGCTGAAGATTTCTCTACCCAACCGTACCCTATTGTATAGTTAACAATAAACACAAAATAAGTACTTTCCGTTCAGTTGTTTTCTTACCGTTTGTGGCCCACACCTGATGATATTCTGGCCCATACATATGGCAGTTTGTGACACTCCCAGATGATTGTGTTGCCAGGTGAACGATGGAAACAACCTCAGCATCGCCGACACCTTCTGTGTGATGAGCAGACAGAAGACGATAGAGCTGCTGGACCACGAGTGAGTAACATATCCTAGTGTTGTCTGTAGGCAACATACTGTATCTTAACATCATCTGTTGGCAACATACTGTATCTTAACATCATCTGTAGGCAACATACTGTATCTTAACATCATCTGTAGGCAACATACTGTATCTTAACATCATCTGTAGGCAGCAAACTGTATCTTAACATCATCTGTAGGCAACATACTGTATCTTGTCTTGTCTGTAGGCAACATACTGTATCTTAACATCATCTGTTGGCAACATACTGTATCTTAACATCATCTGTAGGCAACATACTGTATCTTAACATCATCTGTAGGCAACATACTGTATCTTGTCTTGTCTGTAGGCAACATACTGTATCTTAACATCATCTGTAGGCAACATACTGTATCTTAACATCATGTGTAGGCAACATACTGTATCTTGTCTTGTCTGTAGGCAACATACTGTATCTTAACATCATCTGTAGGCAACATACTGTATCTTGTCTTGTCTGTAGGCAACATACTGTATCTTAACATCATCTGTTGGCAACATACTGTATCTTAACATCATCTGTAGGCAACATACTGTATCTTAACATCATCTGTAGGCAACATACTGTATCTTGTCTTGTCTGTAGGCAACATACTGTATCTTAACATCATCTGTAGGCAACATACTGTATCTTAACATCATGTGTAGGCAACATACTGTATCTTGTCTTGTCTGTAGGCAACATACTGTATCTTAACATCATCTGTAGGCAACATACTGTATCTTAACATCATGTGTAGGCAACATACTGTATCTTGTCTTGTCTGTAGGCAACATACTGTATCTTAACATCATCTGTAGGCAACATACTGTATCTTAACATCATCTGTAGGCAACATACTGTATCTTGTCTTGTCTGTAGGCAACATACTGTATCTTAACATCATCTGTAGGCAGCAAACTGTATCTTGTCTTGTCTGTAGGCAACATACTGTATCTTAACATCATCTGTAGTCAACATACTGTATCTTAACATCATCTGTAGGCAGCAGACTGTATCTTAACATTATCTGTAGGCAACATACTGTATCTTAATATCTGTAGGCAACATACTGTATCTTAACATCATCTGTTGGCAGCAAACTGTATCTTAACATCATCTGTAGGCAACATACTGTATCTTAATATCTGTAGGCAACATACTGTATCTTAACATCATCTGTAGGCAACATACTGTATCTTAACATCATCTGTAGGCAACATATTGTATCTTAACATCATCTGTAGGCAACAAACTGTATCTTGTCTTGTCTGTAGGCAACATATTGTATCTTAACATCATCTGTAGGCAACAAATTGTATCTTGTCTTGTCTGTAGGCAACATACTGTATCTTAACATCATCTGTAGGCAACAAATTGTATCTTGTCTTGTCTGTAGGCAACATATTGTATCTTAACATCATCTGTAGGCAACAAATTGTATCTTGTCTTGTCTGTAGGCAACATGTTGTATTTTCACAATAACATTCACATATTGGACATGTCTTACATATCAGTACATATTGTTGCAGAACTGTTGGAGATGGGCCCACCTGGAATGATGTGAGTTTCCATTTACTGTTTCCTCTCAGTCCTTTCATCGATACCTATCTCTAAAGGGTTGTAAATGTGCTTTGGTTGTCATAACAACACCTCTGTCATGAGAGGAAAACAATCCATATCAAAGTCCTGTAATGTTCAAGTCCTCTTGTGTATATTATACACATGTATCCCGTTTTACTTTGTACAGCTTTTAAAAATACTCTGAGGTAAAACATTGAATGTTGTAAATGTTATGTTGCAGACAATTGCAAAGGTTGTTGGTGATTTTTTCCTCAAGAAGAAGTTAAGAGTTACCAAGCCTGATGACACTCTGGAATCATTTCAGGAAACCATGGTAATGTTTATTTTATAAGTAGAATTTCAAAACACAATCAGTAACAAACCCAGATTTATGACTGATCTAACTGAAGTGTGGTAAGTAACTATGATAGCTTTGTTACATTAGATGTACATGTATTACGTTCTGTACTGGCAGGATTAGTTCAGTGTGGCAGTTTGCTGTACATATCACGAGGGTTTGATGCTAACAAACTGATATACTATTTGTGTAGTATATTACTGTTCTTGCTAAATGAAAGCAGGTTAAGACTGTATTCCTACTTACTGTAATCCGACATTGACATGTGTTGGTTTGTATGTTTACTTATGCATGTTGAATCTGTGTCCAGCTTCCAGACAGCATCCTGGGTCGCCGAGAGCCGTGCTGGATCCCGGACGATGCTGCCACCATGTGTATGAGATGTGAGTCTGGATTCTCAGCCTTCCGACGGAGACATCATTGCCGGGCGTGTGGATGGGTTAGTTTACAATGTTTATAATCTCTGACATGTCTACCTGGACCCGTTTGTCTGCAATATTGAGAAATATGATAATTGATAAATTATCTGTGCACATAATTGTATCTTTTCATCATATGATAATGTATACAAGGAAATATTTTTTTTTATTGATTTCTGTATTCACATTGGTTTACTTCTCTCATGGATTCTTAGGAAAGGCCCAGTGTAAAAAAGTCAGGCATCAGAGTTGATGAAATAGAACTCGGTGACTTATGTTCCATAAAGCACTTAGCATTAAGATGATGGTAACTCCCATACTTAAATATAAGCTTATAATCATCATAGCTCTAGGGTGGCTGTGTAGACAGTGGCCATGCAAGGCTGGCCATGTAAGTGTGTAGCATCATGCCTGGTTGATAGTGTGATACCCACTGCCGGGACATAACTGGAATATTGCTGACTGTCATGTTAAGCAAATATATACTTACTCTCTCACTCACTTGAATTTACTTTAATGTCATACTAATCATAACACCATATTTTCCTGTTTTGTAGGTTGTATGTGGCAAGTGCTGTAGAAAGGCGCCCCTCGCGTATATGCAAAACAAAATTGAGCGAGTGTGCGACAAATGCTATGATGTGATCGTTCATAGAAAGTCTGGCACCGCGTCATCACCCGACAGCGAAGAGGGGTCACCACGGCGGAAGGGGGTTCTACAGGTTAGCATTCCTCAAGACAATGTCACGTGATATGTTCTATCACTCCACCCATCATGTAGTTAGCTGATATAGACAAGAACAATCCGATCATGTCCAGTAATAGACAGTATCACTAGACATGCAAAGGTTCAGGTCGTACATAAGATACGGCACCAGCGATATAAAGATGAAAAGGCAAAGGATCGAGTAGGATAGACTTATGTACTGATGTTTTTTGTAGATTGAACTAATTCAAGGGAAGTTCAGATTTGTATATTTTGTGATGTACCATATATCACCAAGTTTTTCCTACCTGAAATGAAGGGTCTGAGAAAGGGGGTCGCCTGATACGCGAGATTGAAGATCTCACAGATCTCATAAGAACCTTTTCATCTATCTTTGTGAGTCATCTTAACAGGTTAGTGTCTCTGGTACAAGCCCTGTTTCTTCTCGGTCCTACGTTTTCCTTGTATAAATGGCTGAAGTGTACAAGTGTCTTCTTTGTATTGTTGAAGTCTGTGAGAGTGACACTTGTTAGATGTGTGATACTTGTAACACTGACAGTGACGGCCAGTGTCACACTGCTTCTACCTGAGATATCTCCCTGTATCATCATGCATGACCTGTGACGCACTGTTCATCCTCCTTCTGCAGTAAACATCCCCTTGATGTCATCACCGATATACCTAGTTCTCACTCTGCACCTGAAGGTGACTTGTTTGGGGGAGGAGAATTAAATGGTATCCACATTACAGTGGGGAGGATTGAAACAAGACACCTAAATCTTTTTGATAATTCTACAACTTTATCAGGCAAATAAATACAAGCATCCTGTATATGGGAATTACATGTCTTCATGTAACAGTTCCTGTTGAAGTTGTTGCCATACATATAATAAAATGCAATACAGTTTCAATATTAAAAAAAATATAAATATATTTTTATACCTTTATAAATTTGTGAATGTGTTTGCATGCTCATGAAACAAACCTATATAGTCATTTCCATACACTTTGATATACCAAGTGATACGTTACTTGTAAAGCACTGAAATCATGCATGTAGGTACTCGCACGTCCATATTGACTAGCATACATTGTCACTCATTGTCATATATTGTCACACATTGGAATGCATGTAGGAATTGTTATTATCGTGGTTCTTAGTTAATATAGAATGTGCGTCAAATTCTTCAATATCCACAGTGCTTCTTGCTCAAACGTGTAGCAGCACACTGACGGAATCTACCCTTGATAAACTAGGGGTTTCACTCAGATGGGATCTACACTTCAAATGCGACTTTTTCTGTATTCAGCAGGGTGGAAATAGACCTTGGGATAAAAATAAACTGATTAATTCAAATGTCAATAAATCTTATCAAAATGAAGCTCTTCATTAAATAGAAACTTTCGAGAACTACTAAATGTTTGTTTCTGCCAAGTAAGCCTGAGGACTGTTTGTTGAGGAATGTCGGCGTACAGAGATGTTGTACAGCAGTTGCCTGTTCGTGTGCATCAGTGTCTTCACAGCAAAGATCAAGTGTCTGATTCTTGTCCTTTTTTGTCCTCTTTTCATAACCTTTGTTTTATACCTCATTTCATGATCCTACAATAAAACTTTGTTTCTGTGTTTTTCTCTGCTTTGTGGTGGTTTCATGCATGAAACAAACTATAGCATACAGTCAGGGGTGGAAATAACCCATTGCCCGACATCCGAGTCCTGTTTTTGTTTTCTGTCGGGCAAGCAAATTTGTATATCACACTGTACCGGTGTCAAGTTGACTTTCCAATGTTAATTATGTTGTTTATTTAAAAAATCAACAAGAAACGGACGGTTCAGTGGAAAAATTATCAGGGCAAGTGATTTTACATGTGGCACTGTACCAGAGTACACTAGCAATTTTAAAGTTATTTCCACCCCTGACAGTAGTGAACTCAAATGTCAGGCCACACCAAATATATGTTGCTCATCACAAGCCCTCTACTGCTTAGTTCATAGTATTTTTCTGTACTGTTCTGATCAAAAGAAATTAATGTCGCTGTTATTATTGGGAACTTACTTTACTTTCCTAATTTGCCTAAAACTTGCTAAGTCTTTGACTGGCATTTAGAAGTTTACTTATTGTAAGGCCAAGGTGATGATCCAAATATATCTCTAGCCATGCTTAAGCTAAGGCTTAGAATCTGAGTATATGTAATTTTGATATTAACAAATATTCCCATTTAGATTGAAAAGAAGCCTAAGTGAGATGGGATGGGAAATCTAGACTTGCATCATTAAGGGCATTACATTGCAGCAAGGGAAAATATCATAGTTTAGGGACTGTGAGACAAACTAGCCATGGCTCCATGAAAGATAAACCTTATATTTTAGATGAATGATTTGTAACATTAATATTCCTACTTTCATTATCATATTAACATTTGCCAAGGGAAATTATACAGACCTCTTGATAGTGAATACATTTTGGTTGTCATGTGATTTTGTCTGCGGTTTAACAAAGCTATCATTTGGCGGTGTGCTGATCAAGGCTGTCCATGTACTCTCTGTGATTGGACAGCTGTACTGGATGTGGATTATTATCACATGTAAAGTGGGTTAAGTGGGGTTTAATGCTAAATATTTCAGTAATCACATGGACACTTCCTCTTTGATATCATGTTGCTACGGGAAACAAGGATGAAGTTGTACTGTGTATATGATGTGATGAAGCAGAGCTCCAGGTCACAACGGTCATTTGTTTCACAGATGTTTTACATCTGGAGCATTTGTCCAACTAGGTTCGGCTATTTTACACTTTTTTTTGAACAATGAAAAAAGCTGTTCACAAGGCACACTATCAATTAAACAGATATCTAAATTTAAGTGTCTTTTTCTGATTGTTTTTCAGAAAAGTATATAAGTTTAGTGCTTACAAGTAGCTTTAGACATGGAGATAGTGAACCATAGATACTGTTCCTGTTTTGGGCACAAGGATGTAAACAGAAAGTCAGTTTGTTGTGGCCTGAGTGTTATAGCGCAGAGAGATGTAATGGTGTATTGATGTGTGGGAAGGACTTGGGTTTACAAATGGAGAAAACTCATCAGTATTTACAGGAGGAGTTGTTTTCAGTATGGTGATGAGGACTTACAGGTGCTAGAAGTGTTGTGTTGTGTTGTGTTGTTTTGTGTTCTTGTCACGATCAGACAAACCTGCTATGAACTATTTCTCTCGTATTGGCGGCTCTAGATGTTCATCTACCTGGACCACTTTCCATTTACACAACACTTTGATCCTACACTTCCCGTGTCACTCATACTTAGCCCCACCCCTAGCCATGTCCCTTCCCACTTCACATAGCCCTAGCCCTGTCAATAACACTATATTTAGCCCCACCCCTAACCATGTCCCCTCCCACTTAACATAGCCTTAGCCCTGTCACTAACACTATACTTAGCCCCACCCCTAACCATGTCCCCTCCCACTTAACATAGCCTTAGCCCTGTCACTAACACTATACTTAGCCCCACCCCTAACCATGTCCCCTCCTACTCTACATAGCCCCACCCCCTAACACTGTCACTCTCAGTGTGCATAGCCCCACCTCTAACCATATTCCCGCCCTTCTACATAGCCCACCCCCACACCAACAGGCCCCGTCACTCTCACTGTCCTTAACTCTACCCTCACTACACTTCTAGCTCCACTGAACCCTCTCGTCCCAAACCTAAAACTCCTGGTCTTTGCCTTCCACCCCTATTCCCATATGTAAACCTTCTCGATCCTGTGCCATCCCCGACCTCATTACCTAATGCAAGCCTATACTCCCAGGCTCGCCCTCTCGCCTTCTCCATCCTCCATGTCTGTTCCTGATGAATCTGTTTCACCACACTTACTTTCCTTCTATCGTTACGAAAGTAACTCTCGAGTAACCACAATAGTAAATCAACACATTCTCAATCTCACCAAAACAATCTCACAAGTTAACAAATCAACACAAAACAATAGGATCAAACAATGTTATATAGAAGTATGAGCACTTGAAGCATCCTTCCCAGCCCTGTGACACAGTGATCCAGGTCTGGCAGCTACAGCCTGGTCCCAGCTCTGTGACACAGTGATCCAGGTCTGGCAGCTACAGCCTGGTCCCAGCTCTGTGACACAGTGATCCAGGTCTGGCAGCTACAGCCTGGTCCCAGCCCTGTGACACAGTGATCCAGGTCTGGCAGCTGCAGCCTGGTCCCCCAGATCCCTGGCAGCTGACACAGTGATCCAGGTCTGTGACACAGTGCAGCTACAGCCTGGTCCCAGCTCTGTGACACAGTGATCCAGGTCTGGCAGCTACAGCCTGGTCCCAGCCCTGTGACACAGTGATCCAGGTCTGGCAGCTACAGCCTGGTCCCAGCTCTGTGACACAGTGATCCAGGTCTGGCAGCTACAGCCTGGTCCCAGCCCTGTGACACAGTGATCCAGGTCTGGCAGCTACAGCCTGGTCCCAGCTCTGTGACACAGTGATCCAGGTCTGGCAGCTGCAGCCTGGTCCCAGCCCTGTGACACAGTGATCCAGGTCTGGCAGCTGCAGCCTGGTCCCAGCCCTGTGACACAGTGATCCAGGTCTGGCAGCTACAGCCTGGTCCCAGCCCTGTGACACAGTGATCCAGGTCTGGCAGCTGCAGCCTGGTCCCAGCCCTGTGACACAGTGATCCAGGTCTGGCAGCTGCAGCCTGGTCCCAGCCCTGTGACACAGTGATCCAGGTCTGGCAGCTACAGCCTGGTCCCAGCTCTGTGACACAGTGATCCAGGTCTGGCAGCTACAGCCTGGTCCCAGCTCTGTGACACAGTGATCCAGGTCTGGCAGCTACAGCCTGGTCCCAGCTCTGTGACACAGTGATCCAGGTCTGGCAGCTGCAGCCTGGTCCCAGCCCTGTGACACAGTGATCCAGGTCTGGCAGCTGCAGCCTGGTCCCAGCTCTGTGTGGCTGACTGTCCTTATATACACGTCACACAGGAAACAGAGCCTCAACAACAGGAAGTGGTCACTTATGGTTTCATAGTGAGACTCATTACCATCACTAGGTCGTCAGGGAAATAGATTCTCTTATCTCTTAATTGTATCAGTTGTCATGGATGGTTTTGGAATGTGTACATGAAACAAGGATATGATATTTACTGAGGCCACAGATTTTACAAATAGTTTGTGGTATGTTGTTAATTCACTTATAACCCCAATGTAACTTACTGTACACTTACTATAACTTTACAGATAGTCTTTCCGTCACCATCTCTGCCCTGACTAGCAGTGAGTGGCCTCCCTAATGGTAGAAGCCACTGGGATGATTTATACAGATCTGTTTCAGGAAAGCACTGTAACAAGCACTGGTCAGATATGGCCAAGATACCTGTATGCCTGGGGTTGACGTTCCTGATTTATCTCCCCTGGTTAATACTTCCTATTTGACCTTTACCTTTCTGTTGTTTTGCAGGTGAAGGCCAGTGACCCAGCTGTTTTGTCTGGCTACCTGTACATGAGCTCAGACAAGGGGAAGTCATGGGGGAAGAGGTGGTTTGCCGTCCATGACGACTTCGTCATGTATGCATTCAGGGCACACCAGGTATGCAATTATTGCAGTCATTTGTTCCGAGTAATAAACTCAGTTTGTGTCAATGTAGTGAGAGGTATTTACAATAATGTTACAAAAACAACAACTGTAACCTTTCAATAAAGTTTGATCATTCCTTGATTGCAGGACGTTTCGGCGCTGACGTCCATGCCACTCCCAGGGTACATTGCAGAACCTGTGTCGGCAGGGGACAACATTGACAGACCGAACACGTTCAAAGTTCATCATAAGCACAAGAAAATCTACTTTTTCCAAACTGACCATGAGAAACACTTGAGGAAGTAAGTCAACTGGTTCAACTTGTCCTGTATCAGGTGGCAATGTAGCCAGTTCATCTTCACAGCAGTCTGCATGTCATGCTCGGTTTATGGTTGCCTCAATCAGAGTTGTTAGTGTTCATTATTTGTCAGAGTAGAATGTTATGGTTATGTAGATAGCATATATTGTAGAGTCTTTCAGCTGGTGTTTAATGTCAGAACACTGTCTTAACAGAAATTCCCCCTTCCCCCACCCACAAGAAAGTTCTGAACTGGTGACTATAATATCTAAATTCTCACAGCAGATCTGCTAAATATATATGCTTTTTGTAAGGCAAGGAGATTTTGAATGCAAATGTTTGATTTTCCATAAAATGTTTGATTTTCCATAAAATGTTTGATTTTCCAAACTCTGCTGCCACTATTGCCATAAGGGGTGGTGGGGAAGCCTACTGGTTAGAGTTCGCTTGTCACGCTGAAGACCGATTCCCTACATGGGTACAATTTGTGAAGCCCATTTCTGGTGTCCGGTGCCGTGATATTACTGGAATATTGCTAAAAGCAGTGTAAAACTAAAACTCTCTCTCTATTTCCATAATGTCATCCTTTCTTTCACAGGTGGATCAATGTCCTGGAGAAGATGGTGAAGCTGGAACTCCCTGACGACTCCCAACGTCCCTCTTCTCAATCCAGTGTCAGTAACGTCAGCAACATCAGCAGCAACAGTGGAAGTGGTGACATGTCAGAGAGTAACGCCGCTGCTAGTGATATCAGTAGCACACACAGCAACCGCAGTGACTGTAGTAAAACCAGTGATGAAAACGGAATCAGTGGCAAAGACAATGACAGTGGTATCGCCAACAGCAATGAAAACTGTAGCACAAGTAATACCGACAACTCTGAGTACATCAAGGACTCAACAAAATCATGATACAGCAGACAGCGCTCACACCAAAGGGAAACAACCCACTCCTGAGTCACAACAAAGGCGTGGATGCAAAGTCCCTTTTACAACAAAGGGACATAACTCTGAATGCAGTTGATAAAGGGAGACTACTCCTACATGTTATATGTGTCATGGGAAGAATGGATATGTGTGGACATGGAGGAGTTTGAAAGGAGCTGACAGAGGAAATTAAGATTTTTATAAAAATATCTTCCTCAAAAACCATACCAAAGTCAGATAATCATTGGTGCAATTATATATTGTAAACAATATACCAATCCTGGTGAAGACGTCACCTGAAGATATAAGTGCTACACTGTGTGTTTTTGCCATAATTTATTTCCATCAGAGAGATTTATGATGACAGTATTACCCTGAAGTCGTGTGTTCCACAAGGTTACCACTTTCTTCCAGTATTCTGTGGGAACAGCTGCCTGGGGATGAGGAGTGTTGAAGGGGAAGTAACTCTTACATGTCAAAAGCGGCACTTTTCTGTTGCTTACCTCCCTTTCTCAATACCCAGACGTTACGCTGAAAGACTACATAAAAACTATTCTTAATATTATCATGACACAAAGTAATATATTCCTCATATGACAATAGAAATTGTGTATATTTACATTTTGCCATGAGGTATGTATATATGATGTTTGGAATTATCAGGAACTTCAGGCCATTAGACTGGTACTCTAGGGATATGAAATCAAAATAAAGTATAAACAGAATATTTGAAATCAGAAGTGGAACTGTGGAATATGTTACATCTTTTGCTCACCGGTTTTAAATGTATGAACATATTTGCCTTAATGTCTGTAAATAATAATACTGTTGGGTTTTTTTCTGAAGATGTTAACATTTACAAATAATTGTTTTACATCACAATGCAACTGTAAATCTGTCTTCAAGACATTTACTTAGTGGAATATAATTATATAAGAATATCTGTTAGATAATATGTATTATTACTGCTCATAGATGAGAGAAATTCTACTGTCAGGATTTGTCTACGAAATATACTAATTTAGATTGTTTCTATTTGGACTTCATACAGTATGATTGATATCCCTAATATATTTGTACATTTTAATAGTCAGTTGTATATTTTGTTTGAATGTGTAAATTTGTTGTTATAGTAACTATGGTTACTGTAAGTATTAACATATACTGAGAATATTTCTCAAGTCAGCATATTTCACCTATTGTTGATCATCGTAAACCAGGTACACAAAGCACATCAGGTACATCATAAACACCCGGTACAAGGGGTACGTCAGGTAGGCCATGTGCATCAGGTACATCAGGAAACTGGGATACAGTTATGTATCCTCTTCAGGTCTCATGGAGCAATGAAAGGAAGTCATCAAGTCAGGTTATGTTTCAGAGCGTCGCTATGCTTCTCCCTGGATAGCTGTCAAACTCATTGTTTTTACAAATGTTCAGTTACAACTTTGGGTTGGACAATATGCCTGGCCATGTACTGTAATGCTAATCAACATTTAAATAAGTTCCAATATAGTTAAGTTCATTATCATCATCTTCAACTACATGCTTAATATTTTTCAATCATTATATTAAGACTTTATTTTACATTTTAGATTAAATCTTGTTCTTCAGATTTTAATGTAAATTTTGGTTTTAGTTTTAATAACTATGTTGATTTTATTATGAAGTACAGTATTGTATGCATAAGATTTCATTTTGATGTTTACATTGATACAGTAAGGGGAGGAATTTTAATAGTATGATGTTAGATGGTAGAGCACTTTTTATTGAGAGTTTTTTAACTATTAATGTTTATTTTTAAACAATGCTTTGTACAATAATTTATGGTATGCTTTGAATGTACTGATTATTGTACTTAACTATGGTGCTTAATTCATACACAGTAAGTTGATACACTGCTTTATATGTAGGAAATAATTTGAAATTTGTATTTATTTTTCTGACATTTACAATTTTGCAAAAATTAGTTTTAGATGTATTGAGCATTACTTCCATTTGCTTACATGTCATGCTCTTAGACAATCAGTGCAGCAGTGCCAGGGATATACTGTCACGTGTCACCATCAGCCTGGTCAGCGTGGCTTACGTACACCATGTGTTGGTTTTATCCCAGATGTTACCCAGGACCTGAATCATGATCATCTTCAGCACTCTTGTAATAATTGTTACTCGGTTTGTATTTTTATTGTAAACTATTTTATATAAAATGATCAGATCATATTGTAAATAGACATGTATTTACATCAGAATTTAACTTTGGAAATTGTAAACGATTTCTTGATGTGTGTGTTGTCAGTGAGAGCAAGACGAGGCATTGTCCGTTGTCATGTTGTCACACGACTGTAAGAACATCAGGTGTTCCAAGGAGCACAATTCACTGTGCCTGTAGACAATTAGATGTAAGCAAAACCATTCCATGCTACCTGTATGTTAATCTGACTCTGTACAGCAAAGCCGCTGTAAGCCTGATAGGGTATGGGAGTTACAATCACCTTATTATACAAGCCACCTTAGCACTTTCGCAAGGCTGATAAGGTAAGGGAGTTACAATCACCTTAGCGTTAAGATTACTCTGTACCAGGGCACCATGTCCCTTTATTTGAGGCAGATGAGTATGCAATTTTTCTTATGGGAAGATATGGCAAACTTCAAATCTGTCACATTGAATTTTCTTGAAATTATTTGCTCTGATGTTAAAAACCTAGTCATTGGCCCATATCGAGAAAATACTTTTATTCTGTAATTTAAATTAGTGTTGCTTTTCTATGTTTCAGAAAGCTTTTACGGAATCATTATTCCTAATGACTGCAGGTGTACACTATGATTGCGAGTGTATTCGTTGAAAACTCTGACTTGATTACGAGTGACACTTGTGACGACCCTGTCTCTGTTTGTACAGTCGTGTGACACCCTGACAGGGACTACTCCTGTGAGATGTAATATATTATGACAACTAAACCTGTATTGTTTTTTATACTTTTGTTGATCTCTGTTTTGATACTGGATGTATGAGTGAAAGGTCTGAATAAATACAGTACAGAAGATACTACCAGTGTCATGTATAATTTACTGACTGACTCCTCCATGGCTCCATGGCTGGGGCTGATGGAGCCTGTTCCACAGTGTTGGCACAATCGTTCTCAATTTGGATACTACTACTACTACTACTACTACTACTACTACTACCGGCTCTTGTTGTTTCAATTACCAGTAAGCATCTCTGAACATCGAGGAGCCCCCAAAACTAACCTAAGGAGAGTTACTTCCCTTTATCTGTACACTCACTGAAGGTATTGATAGTGAGGAGATTTGCTCTACATTGGCAGTACTCATATGCTGCTTCTGTGAACTTGGATTACCTAATTGGCTACATACCAAGATTTGAATATTATTTGACTGTCAGACATTTTTAGATAATTAGACAACAGAAAAGGCAAATACATCAGAATATGGGAGTCTATTTATACTACATATTAAAAGTCAGTTTTGAAAAATAACAATTAAAAAACTCTACTAATTTCATAAACATACTGTTTGTCTAAAATGCCTCTTAAGTTGTGTTGGGTTTTTGTAGCTTCTCTGGCTCATTGTATAAATCTGAAACAAGCTCATTCTCTCAACCATTCCGCCAATGATCATGAAAGAAGGATGCTACTTTTGTTTCATGTAGGTTGTTTAATGCTGCTCTCAGCCATCTTCCAGGTAAACGATTAGTATACAATTAGGATACGATGACATGTGTGAAAAGCCATAGATCTATCTTTTAAGTAAGTAAGAACGCGCAACAATGTCACAATCACGCCGTTAAACGGGAACTGTGAACGAGATATTTCATGAACTGTTGTACCCAATGTCTTCAAATTTGGTGACAGACTACATTGGAGAATTACACACACACCAGTCGATTTGGGTGACCTTGGTCTTCTTTTCGAGGTCACCATGACGCAGTGACCACTTTTCAAATTCTTGTTAACACGATATCTCATGCACTGTTGTACCCTGGTGTAATGAGAGGGAGTCATGGGCATGTTTTTGGAACTCAGATACGCCGGTTTTCTGCGTCATGGCAAACACTGACCCTGTTACTGACAGTGGATATGTGCATCTGCATCTAGACATTCAAATCTACTATATTCTTGAGTTAGGAGAAGATTCTGAGAAGTGACCATGACTAAAATCTACATCACACAAAAGGTAATCTTCTATATGACCAAAAGATAAAAACTAGTAAATATGTTATATTTCATTCTTCTTTAGCGGCGGGGGACATTGCCATGTTAGTGGCAAACACTTGTTTGTGTGGAATTCAAGCACAAACAGAGGTATCTAAGATACACATAGCGTTGACTGTATTCTTAGCTAAACTAGAGGCCAAGAAAAACAGAATATACCGTGACGTGCCATAAAATCCACGCTAGTGACAGGGGAGATAACTCCTGGTGACGTATCTTTAGTTTTCTCATACCAGAACATCACGTTGAGGGGAAGACTAGCTAAGATACATAGCGTTCACTGTTCATGTCAGTGAACGCTATGTATCTTAGCTAGGGGAAGACTTCAGAGCATGCATTGTCATATCTCGGATGCAGGGGTGCCTGTCCACCATTTTCACACCTTGTTATCAGTGCCTTCGTCCGAGTCACTTCATGTCTTCGGGGGCGGTGGGGTAGCCTAGTGGTTAAAGCGTCCGCTCGTCACGCCGAAGTCCCGGGTTCGATTCCAACATGGGTACAATGTGTGAAGCCTATTTCTGGTGTCCCCGCCGTGATATTGCGGCGTAAAACCATACTCACTTGCTTATCGTGTTGTTTTTATTTATTTATATATATATATATTTTGTTGTTGTTGCAATTTCTCATTGATAGCACAACGTATATTTTAAATGCACACCCCTTTTCGTCATGAATATAACTTCCCCAGAGGACACATACGTAGACAGACACTCTATCAACGTAGAGTCTATCATCATATAGCCACTGCAAGCGGAGTATTTACAGTGCAGCCAAACAGATATTAACATACGGGGTTAATCATTTTCTAGATAGTAAATTTAAGAAATGTCTTCGGTAATATGTGAACCCTACCCCTTTTCAAAACCCTCTCTGCCTCTTGCATGAGGAACGACTAACACACCCGACCAGGAACACAGTAACCGGCAGCGTGATTACACTTTCATCCAGTGTTGCCAACAAGTAAAGTATTGATAATTGTTCTCCTTTGCATCTGTTTAATTCATACTAGATGATAGATTATTGGACCACAATCTGAACAAAGTGTCTGGTGGCTGAATTATTGATGCGTTTAATTAGGAGATAGCAGACGAAAAAATATATTTAAAAATGTTCTTTTTGCAAATCAATCAAAGTAAGTAATTTTGGAATGGAAATGACCGTGTTTTATGAATTTTTCCAGGTGGGTTTTGATTCTCTTGGGGTTTAATATTTTTCCAGTTTAAGAAGAGAGAAAGATCAGGTACGATGTTTTTTTTAATAAAACGGCTTCCTTATACACCTAACGGCGCGCATGCAGTTGAAGATCAGTAAGAGTACGTACTGAAAACTGCAAATTCATTTGTGTTCTTCACCCTGAGGTGCATTGAAAGAATATAAACGAAGCTGACATCCTAAACCTAACCCCGTCTTAGATAATATTGTATCTTGTACATGCCACTTCAGCAAACAACGTCACTTATACCAACATATGGTTCCACGTGACAGTATTTCTCTACACGCCTGCACGACACAAGATGCACGTAGATACCAGATGGATCTTTTCTATGATTGTGAGGAACCCCCTCGATATCTGACCCACCCATGCACACGCACTAACATCTTATCAACTTCTACTGCTGTTGCTGCTGCTGCTGCTGCTTGGATGCTGGGGTAGCCTAGTGGTTAAAGCGTCCGCTCGTCACGCTAAGACCCGGGTTCGATTCCCCACATGGGTACAATGTGTAAAGCCCATTTCTGGTGTCCTCCACAATCATCCACTAGTGTCTGGAGTGAGTGGATGCTGTACAACGGCCCCCCACACAACATGTGTCGTGGGTCGAAGTCCCTTAACTTGCTTAGCAAATAATCAAATACAGTTAGTTAATACAAAAAGGCAAGCGGTGAACTCAACTCCAACATGCAGGTGCATCCTACTGACAGCTTCTCGTACAGATCGATGTAAACATACATACAGTGACGGACAGATGGACGAAGGACAGGCAGTGTCGTTGTCCTGTCGTCCTGGACGCGAGGACGTGATTGGCGACACATTCCAGGCTATAGTTGATTGAGGCCATAAATGTCGTGATATTAAAACACGTGTAACTCAACACTATACAGTAATGACGTGGTCCAGGGGTTATTATTCATAACATAAATAATATGTTATCCGACCGGGATGTTGAAGTGAATCACTCTATGACAATTGCCGCCCTCACGAGAAAAATTTGTCACTTATCTACAGGCATAGTGCTTTATCATAACGGAAACAGTTATCATATATCTTTAATAAATACCCGAATTATTGCTGAATTGGTGGGCACATGGCATCGTGTTCAAACTGCGTAGATCGATGCTCATGATGTTGATCACTCGATTGTCTGAGCCAGACTAGATTATTTACAGACTACAGACCGTTTCCATATAGCTGGAATATTGCTGAGTGCGGCGTTAAACAAACTAACCGAATGCGAACGAGTTGCTGCACCACTCCCGATGTTGCTTCACAAGCCATGTGGACATCAAAAGTTACTCTTCAATTGGATTGGGTCCATATACCTCGTTAGTTGTCAGGTACTCTACAGAGACTGTGTCACGTTCAGTCTGAGATATGCAGGTATTTTAGGTGTTAGCTTGATGGCATGATAGCTTTCAGTTTGACACACAGAAAATCGCACGTTATATTTTCTTTCCTTTTCAAAGTATTGTTTTGTTGGAAAAATATATCACTGAGGTACAAATGCACAAAACCCAACAGATGCGTGTTAGAACTTCCTCTACAGCACCGACTGCCATGTGGCCCCTATAACATCGGGTGACATCTCATCCTGAAATCAAATCTGCAAATTAAACGACAGCTGTTTACAGTTTTTATGACAGACAACAAAGCGACAACGAGTACGACTGAACATACAAAATGTCAGTGCTAATCGTTTCTATCCGTATTTTGTACCTCGAAGGATGTAGTTTCATTTGGTACATGACTCCATGATTGCAGCGACAGTTATACAACAACCATCTGCATCGCGGGAAAGAATAGTTCTCAATACCAGAGATGACAATAACGTACCTGGACTCAAACTGTTCAATGGTGGCATCGTTTAATATTTGGTCACAACAAACGCAGTTAACTTTATCATTGCATGAGAAATATTGTCGAAAACTGCCTCAGCGAGTCAGACTTGGTGGTACGGCGGTGAAGTACGTTTATTTCATGCAGGACATCAAAACGGCGCACACACAACGTTACCGGGGAGATGTCCGGCGTTGTCAGTATAAGTCGTTATTGATCGTTCGTTTATAGATGATCATAAAGATCAGTGGAATAGATACTGAAGTAAATTGAGTTGCTGTTATATATTGTTGACTGTCACTGGCAGTCTATGCACGGATCGGCAAACTTCGGTGTGCATATCTCGATTTGTTCACCTCGAAGGGAAGATATTTGATCCCGGACATGCAGTCACTGTAGCCACCGACGACAATGTACAACAAAGGAGCCTCCTAACGGCCCACGCACAGACCTCATGCATGCCCCAGTACAACCCAGCAGCCATACACTAGCGGCCTCCACACAGACCTCATACATGCCCCAGTACAACACAGTAGCCATACACTAGCGGCCTCCACAGAGGCCCCATGCATGCCCCAGCACAACACAGTAGCCCGTACACTAGCGGCCTCCACACAGACTTCATGCATGCCGCAGTACAACACAGTAGCCATACACTAGCGGCCTCCACACAGACTTCATACATGCCCCAGTACAACACAGTAGCCGTACACTAGCGGCCTCCACACAGACTTCATACATGCCCCAGTACAACACAGTAGC